CGCCCTCGGCCCCTGGGGGACGCCCCCACCCCTCTCCACCCTCCCCAACCCTCCCATCTCCGACTGTGCCTGCTAGCACCAGCCAGCAGGAGCTGGGGCTCTGAGGACCCTGGAGCCCCTATCTGCGCCCTGCAAATTCCGAGAAATGTGAAACTTGGGGGGCGGGGGGGAGGGGGAGTGTGGAGGGTAGCAGGGAGGGAAGGCAGAAGCTGGGAGCTTCCCATCCCTTTGGAAATCTATGGAGCCCCCCAGTTCTCAGAGGCCCTGCTGGTACCCAGACTGCCCCCCCTCCCCCAATCCGGAGGGGACTTCGTGTTCCGTGTACGTTTGCATCTCTATTTATACCTCTGTCCTGCCAGGTCTCCCACCTTCCCTGGGCTCCAAAAGCCAGGGTGTCTTTGTCCAGGTCACCCCCACGCAGTCTGCTCCCCTTCCTCATCCCCAGTTACGTCTCTGAACCGCCCACGACCTTCTGTGTTGTTTTGCATGGCTTTGCAGTTATGGAGAAAGTGGAAACCCAGCAGTCCCTAAAGCTAGACCCCGGAGGGCAGGTGGACAGAAGCCAGGCCAGGCCCCCCACAGGGGCCGGCAGAGAAGTGAGGGGCAGAGAAGGGAGGGGAGAGCCCATGGCCAGGGTGGTCCCGCTGGCAGGTGAGAACCAAGTGGCCTTCAGTCACATTCCCGGGAGGGGGGGGGGGCAGGGGCAGAGGTAATGCAGCCTTCCGACCAACACTCCCCTTGATGGGCAAGAAAACGTCCTGCTGGCCATCCGGCCACTGCTCACCGTGACCAACTCCGGCATCTGTGGAATGAGTTGTCTCCTTGGAAAACCACATCCTGACTCCTCATCGTCTGAGTCTCCCAACACTCCAGTTAGGTCACCAGGGCAGGGATGCTCATCCACATTTTACCGATGGCAGTGAGGCCCAAACAGGGGGTGTGACTTGTCCAAGGTGACACGTACAGCAAAAGGCACCGGGGGACCAGAACCCAGGCCACTTGTTCCCAGGCGGAGTGCTCTTTCCTTCCCAGGCCTCTGCCCGCTCCTGAACGCAAAGCTCCTGCCCTGTGCCCTGGCACTGTGTGGGCAATGGGGCCTAAAACAGGCCCAGACCTCAGGTCGGAGCCAGTGCTGGGGCTAGAGAGCTGGCAGGCATATCCTGCTGACTTCACCCCTGACCCCACAGCCGGTGTTGGTGCCTGTGTCCCGCGTGGCTAGAGATAAGCTAAGGCTGCAGCAAGGCATGCCCCTCCCAGGTGGGGGACATGGAGTTGGTGTGCCAACGGCCTATGTCACCTGCCACCCAGAAACCCAAAGGGAGAGCAGAGACGGAGGTGGGAACCAGGCTCCCTGCGGGGACCCACACCTGGAGCTGGCGCCTGACTCAGGACAGCCTCAAAGGGTGGGTGAGAGGCTTCTCCTCCCTCCGTGCTGCCCTCGCATGCTGTTCCCATGTCCCAGCTCTTGGACACGCTCAGCAAGGCCCACGCTGGCCTTCAGAAAAGCAGGAGTGGGGACCACGGGGTGATCAGCCTCTGGGAACCCCTGGGAGGGAAGAAGTCTGGCCTGGCCTGTGTGTGAGTCCTGTCTCAGCGGGAGGAGCTGTCCGCCCACGTGCCAAGGAGAGCAGGGCCCAGGAGCCGGGGTGCCCTCTGTATTTATGTTGAGGTGGGGAGCGGTGCCGGCTGCCTATGTCTTGTGTGTGACCCTGCCCTCAAGGGGTCCTGTCCCGTCAGTCCTGAGGGAGCCACAACCAAAGTTGCAGGGAGATGGTGAGGAAGGAGGCTGAATGGCCCTGGGCAGACTGCTCGGTCTCCAGGCTCCCAGTCTCTGCTGGGTCTTTCCCGGGGAACTGGACGGCCAGCGTTGCTTCCCTCCCCCCTCCCACTGCGGGCAGCCTTTCTGCTTCCCCAATGCCTTATGCCTGGGCACACTGCCACAGAATATGCAATATGTGTGGGTGACATGCCCCACGCCCACACCCCCACCCCGGGCAGCCCCCCGGACCCCAAAGGCTGCGGCTGCCACGGCCTCCCTTTAGACCCTGCTGCCTATCTGTCTTCACACTGAGAATGGCGTCTAATAAATACTGCCCATGGAGACCAGGTTCAGGCTCGGCTACCTCTGTCATCATATACCCTGAGAGCGGCCGGGGCCGGGCCATCTGCTGACCCGCACACACACCCCTGCGCACACTCCGGCCCCGCCAAGGTCTACAGACACACTCGCTGATGCACCTCGGGCTGACTAGACCCTTTGTGTCCACAGGCCTTGGGGAGAAGGCTGGGGACAATACTGGCTTCCCTTTTGTGATTTCCTCCCAGGTCAGGTTTTCTGTTTCACCAGCAACAGCTATAAGACGGGACCTTAGAAAAGAAATCACCTGCTTCAATTCTCCCCCTTGAACATGAGTAAACTGAGGCCCAGAGAGGGCAAGTCACTCTCCCTGAGTCACACAGCAATGAGTGGGGGGCCCAGGATTGGAACCAGAACCGGGGATTCCAAGTCCAGCGCTCCCCCTTCTCAATTGTCTTCGGAATCTGATGGACACACACACACACTGCAGCTGACAATGGCAGCCTCCGTCAGCCAGGAGTGGGGGTGCCCTTCTTCCAGCAGGGCCTTCCAGGCTCAGTGGCCTGATGGGCACAAAAAAATGTCTCTCTCATAGGGAGACACGTCGCAAGCACCTTTCTTCAGGGTACATTTTTCTCTGGAGGGACAACTTGGCCTGAGACTGAACCCCAGAGCCCAGGACAGATCCAGCTGGTGCCAGCCCCCGGAATCAGCTGGCCAGTGGCTTTGAGATGCCGCTGAGTGCAACCCAGAGTAATGCCTTTTCTACTGCAACCCTGAACCTATCTGCATGCCTGTCCATCTATCTCTCTTTCGTGAAGCAATACTTAATCCCTACTACAGCCTTTCCACTCTAGTTCATGTGATGAAATGCTGGTCACTACCTACTAAATTTATCTCTCTCCCCACTAGGGCTCCCTGCAGATTGAAATACAGGGAGTGGGGTAGGGGCACTTTCTCCAGTCTCCACCCCTACCCATATAAATCAACTGAAAAATAGAAAGAGAGGCCTATTTATTGGGGGTTCAGGGATCTACGGAAGCAGTGGTGGCACCTGCACTTCCACTAGCACATACCCCCTCCAGGAGGCAGGCAATGTGACAGTGGTCCCGGCTGCTCCGTGCAGCTGGAGGCAGGCTCCTGGGACATGCTTCTCATTGACCTGTGGCCCTCAGGGTGTCCTCAGCTCCCGGTGGCTCACCCGCACCTAAGAGCACCCCATCAAAAGTCAGGGATCCCCGGCCCAATTGCCTGTCTTTCTCAGCGCAATGGTGGTAGAGATTATGTCATTTTTGAGGTCAGCTGTGGCCAGGACAAGGTTGCTTTTACTCTCTTTAGCAGTTCTTGCAGGACACAAACATGCTGGCACTTGCCCTCCTGTCTTCTTTTCTTTTTTGTTAATCCTCACCTGAGGATATTTTTCCGTTGATTTTTAGAGATGGCAGAAGGGAGAGGGAGAGACAGAGAGAGAGAAACATCGATGTGAGAGAGACACATCGAGTGGTTGCCTCTGCACATGCTTCCCGACCAGGGCCGAGGATCAAGCCTGCAACCAATGTATGTGCCCTTGATCGGATCAAACCTGGGACCCTTCAGTCTAGGGCTGACCCTGTACCCACTGAGCCAAACCGGCTAAGGCTGCCCTCCTTTCTTCGTCACCCAGGACAAAATAATCAGAGCTCGAAGGGGTCCCCGAAGGGCTGCATTCATCGCGGTCTTCCAAGGGGTGATCAGAATTGTGGCAGCGGTGAACTGCACGCCAGCCCCTGCCTAGCCCCCGAGGACTCGGAATTGTCCGTGGTCCTAGCGTGGGCTCTGTATCGCCAGGTGATGCCATCCCACCCTCCTCGCTTACACATAGTATCTGAGGCATCCTGCACTACAAAATGCATGCACAGCAATGCAAAACTAGAAACCAGCATTGCAGAAGGTGGGGGGTGCGGGGGGGGGCATGAATATACCAAGATCCCGGCTGCTGTGGTGACTGTGTGAGCATCAGATGGAGACAGAAGCGTCCTGGAGCCGAGAGAAAGAGGCCTACAAGAGCAACTCTTCCCCAGACGTGTCCCATGGTGTGCCTGCGGGAAAGGGGTCCTCGGTCAAATGAAGCTGGGGAAACACTGTACCTGCCCTCACGCGTGGAGCTTCACAAGGCATCTTCCCTTATAAAGGCTCTGAGAAGCCCTGCAGCAAACACAGCTGCTCCCCTCTGCTTTCCCCAGCCGCACCCGCACTCATGCCCAACGCCAGACCCTCTGCTTGTGTGGCATCTCGTGTTCCACAGCGCACGTCTTGGGAAATGCTGACCTATCAAAATCTCATTGTCTGATGGAGAGAGAAGGCTGATCCTCCCCCTCGATAAATTCTAAAAAAGAGTTCAGTGTAGAAGCCCTTCTATAACGGAAGGCCATGACATTACCAAATACATATTTTATTCTCCATTACGTGTCAGCTCGAACGAAGGCTCAGAGCCAGGATCGGACCGTGGGCTGGTGGCGGAGC